TTTTTGGACCTCATCTATTATACGTAATATTCAAAGGTATAATAAGTTATTTATTAAATATTGCACGCAATAATTGCCATGAGGCGTTATTATTAACTGTGAATTATTATTTTCATAGGGTTACGTTAGCGGGAGTTGTGTCAAATTGGTATTTCTATAGGTAACATTAATAAAACATTCGAGTTTATAGATGGAATCATGTTCTCAGTTTAATTTTTATTTTCATGTTACGATTAGACATGAACCCGAACATGATACTTCGAAAGATATCGCATCACTCTCTCTTTCCAGAGCCACGACCAACTCATTAGGAACAATATGTCTTGGTTCTCTTATCCTTTCAACCATTGAATTCTTACAATGGACTAACTATCTTCTGAGAAAAGTAATTATTTAACGAATTTAAAAGTATTTTTGGGGGCTGAACTGAATTTCACCTTTTTTTAATTTATAGATTACTAAGGGGAATACCTCTTTTTGTTGTCTATCTGCTTGGTTATCATTTATTGATGGCATAATAGGCAACTTGAACAATTATGCATTGATCTACGCTGGAATATCAGGAGAAGGTTTTTATACTTCAGCAATTATGGCAACAAAATTATTTCACAGAAATCTCATTCCTGGACTGGAAAATGGTAAGGGTTTTAATGATCAAGAACACTGCGATATTGTCTATTCTATTCGTTTCTTTTTTATCTACATAGATAATTGAGAAAAACCCATATTTGACAGAACTAACATTACCACATATTACTCGTTTAGATGTTGTTACAAAAATTGTATTGTATATTGGTTCTATAATAGTGGCCCTTTTATGCGGTTTTGCTACTTTTATTTATGCCGTACATTCACTTCAATCATCATATGGATACGTCGCTGGTATATTTGCAGCCATAATTCCGTACTATATTTCACAGTTTTATACACATCTCATGATGAACACGTAAGTATATATATATGTTTATTTATTTATTTATTTGATATCATACTTATTCCTTAATTGATATCCTCTCGACCGTAGGGTGGATGCTGCATTCTTGTGTTACGCCATAGATTTTGATATGAACAAAAATCATTGTAACAAAGCACACGAAGCATTTTATAATTTTAATATTCAATAACAAATAAATAGATTATTTCATCGAACAATTTCATTCTAAATGGATAAACATATAGGATAAAACTGTTTAATCATGTATTTATAATTTTCAATTATTCTGGGCATAGTGAAAGGTATAATAAATATATCGATAATGCTAATAATAGATCAATTTTAAAGGTGGTTTATTGCCATAGGCCCACTAAAATTGATGTAACTCAACAGATTTTTGCATGTTATAACAGGTGCGTATGCTTACATGACTAAAGAGATGCCAGTATTGCATGATCATTAGAGTACAAGATGTTACGAATGATATTTTTGCTATTGCATCCTTAAAGCATTTATTAAATTATTCGAACACACGTTTATTCATAATAATTAGATAATTTGATTGTTGGACTAGATCAGAATATTAATAAGTCGAAGTTTTCACAAGTCAAATATATCCTAAGTCCTCAATAAATTGAAAAATTTATGTATAATTATTGCAAAAAAACTGTAAATTAGTTTATATTTTTTCTTATAATTAATAAAAACTTTTTAATAATAAAAATAACATTCTTTATTTAAATATTTTATAAGCTAGTTATTGATTTTTTAAAAATTTTTAAAAGTTTATTTGTTAAAAATCCATATATTAATATTTGAATTATTAAAAAAATATTTTTTATATAATAAGAAATGGATATATACATCGATATTAATAATTAATTATTAATAAAAAAATTTTTTACAAAAACAATAATTGCATTTAAAAATAAATTAAATACAAAATTTTATTATAAAAAATACTAGTTATAGGAATTAGAATGGTTTAATTTATATAAAAAAATTATAAAAAAATCATATAATTATTTTTTAGCTATTGTTAATAAACTTTTTTTAACACAGTATAAAAATAATTTCGTATTTTTTAAGTTCAAATATAATTTTAATAATAATATTTATTATATAATAATAAACCTTTTTTAACTATTGTAATCTTTAAATCTTTAAATAATATATATATAAATATCATATTATATTATTAATAGATTATTAAATTGTAATTAAAATAAGAGCTTATAAACTATATTTTATAATTTTTTTTACAAGTCAATTTTTTTTTTGATTTTACAATCAAATTTTTTAAAAGTTATTATAATAAAATTATAGTTTTCAATTTCAATTTTATTATTAAAAAATTGTATTTATTTTAAAATTCTTTTTAAAAAACTTTAAATTAATATTTTGATCTTGGAATTTTTAATAAATATACTATTAGAATTTTAGTTAATTTAAATAAAAAATTATTAAATTATAAAAAAATATCAATATCAATTTTTTTTTATTATGACCATATATATAATATAATTTTCTTTTTACAAATAATATTTTAATTAATAATTTTATACAATAATAATATATAAAATAAAATATTAACAAAATATTATAAAATTAATTATATTATAACAATATTAATAATATGAATAAACTTAAAAGATTATATAAAATATATTGATTATATGATAACCATTCAATACTATTCTTGCTAAGATATTCTTCTTTTATTATTATCATTTTTTTTCAAGTCCTAATTTTTAAACATTTTTTGATACTAGGTACTGTTGAATTTTTAGATATCAAATAAAATAGAGTAACTATTTTCTATAGTGACAAATTTTTGATATAAATGAATACATTTTTTTATTAATATTAAAAAATTTCTACATACTAGTAAATGGAAACCTTTGTAAGTCCAAAGCTAATACGTTTACTATTTTATTTTTTATTAACTATTGCCAATTAATTAAAAAAAAAAATTAATAATTTTATCAAGAATCATAAATATAAATGTTCAAATAAATAACGATTACATTAAATGACGTAACTTTAACCACGCGTATTGTTTTAAATTATAACGCGTTCCTTCTATATTTAGATCTTACGCATGATTTATGTGATCAATAGATATTATGAGATATATAAATGCTTTGGTCCGTAAAAAATTTTTTTCACTCTTTTCCTTAAATACTTTGCAACCTTTCTTAAAAACTTCAACCTTCCTTAAAACTTCACAGCAACCTTCCTTTAATACTTCGCAACCTTTCTTTAATACTCCGTAACATTAACTTTTTAGTAATACGCGATGATGTATGATTCTTAAATACTTCGCAACCTTAACTTTCTAATAATACGTGACAGGTATATGAGGTCTTTATAACTCTGTGACAACACGTAAATAAGTTGACAATATCTTTTAATAGTACAACAACACGTATCGAGTTAATGAAATCTAAGAGCATGAGAGGAACAAGCAAGTGTAAGTTTAATGATTTGTTTTTCGAGTTAATAGGTAATAAAAAAGACAGGTCGAAGCAAGATTTTGACTAGCTATTTTTTGTTGCCGAACTGGGAACCTGAGACTCCCATTTCCATGTCATGTAACTGTATTCGAGGGAACAACGGTAGTATGCTATCTTCCTATCACCCACGGTATGCGTGTAGGACACTGTAGAA